AAATTGCTTTGCATAGTGTGGACATTTTATGGATGTTAATTCTTCCTGTCTGTGAGCACAGTACAGTGGAACCTCATTTCTCAAACTTAATTCATCCCAGAAGGCTGTTCAAGAAGCGATTTGTTTGAAAACCAAATTATTTTTTTCCCCTTTAGAAATAATATAAATTGAATTAATCCATTCCAGACCCCCCAAATGATTCCCTGTTTTAACCTTTTTTATATGCAGTGCGTGTCTAATGTACTATTTAGTCTATAAACAAGCACCTCTTTTCTTGAGTTTATGGGACCAGCCCCACTAGCCTTACAAGTCACTTTCAGCACTATTTCCAGGGTGTCTTTCGGGAGTCAACACGCAGCATCTCCACTATTTCACATATCACTGGCTCCAAATGCCATCACCAGCCGACTGCTTTTTGTTTGTGCAAATCAACAATTTTTCTACCTGTTCAGTTGCCTGTGATCATTGTTTCCATTTCGTCAACAACAAAAGCAAAACAATCACAAAAACATTCACAGCAGTTTCCCAAGATGCTGACTCGAGGTTTGGAGTAAACGGACTCACACACGTTCTCCTTTGTTTGTCTCCTTTGTTTGATGTACAGCATGAAAGAGTTGTCAGACCAAGAACCAAATTTTTGTTTGACAGCTGAGATACTTTTTCCATGAACAACTTGGTCAAAAAATAAATTGTTCGAGTTGGGAGACTTTCAGGAACTGAGGTTTGACTGTTGATACTTCCAATTTATTTGTATCCTTCAATTTCTTTCTTCAGTGTCTTTTTTTTTAAAGTTTTTAATTGTTTTCAGAAAGAGGAAGGGAGAGGGAGAGAGAGAGAAACATTGATGTGAGAGTGAAAAATTGATCGGTGCCTCCTGCACACCTTCTACCCAGAACTGAGCCCCAACCTGGGCATTTGTTCTGACCAGGAATGGAAACAGCAACCTTTTGGTGCACAGGACGACACCCAACCAACTGAGCCACATGGGCGTGGCTGTGTCTTGTGGATTTTTGAGTACAAGTCTTTCTGAGTATCTCCTTGGTTAAATTTATTCCTCAGTTGTTTTTGTTCTTGTTGTTATTTGATACAGTTGTAAATGGAATTGTTTTAATTTCTCTTTCTGATAGTTCAATATTAGTGCATAAAAATGCAACTGATTACTGAATATTAATTTGTATCCTGCTACTTTACTGCAAATAATGACAGTTTTACTTCTTCTTATCAAAATCTGATGCCTGGGTTATTTATTTATTTTTGCCTCATTGCTGTGGCTAGAACTTCCAATACTAAGTTGAATAAAAGAGATGATAGTGCATATCCTTGTTTTGTTCCTGACTATAAGCGAAACACTTTTAGCTTTTCCCCATTAAGTATGATGTTAGCTGTGGGTTTGTCATATATGGCCTTTATTATGTTAATTAATGTTCCTTTTATCTCAGTTTGCTTACAGTTTTATCACGAATGGATGTGCGATTTAATCAAATGATTTTTCTGCTTTTGATTGAATCATGTGTTTTGTATCCTTTATTTGGTTTATCACATTCATTGATTTGCAGATATTGAACCAGACTTGCATCTCAGGAATAAATCCCACTTGATCGTGGTGTATGATATTTTGAATGTATTGCTGAATTCAGTTTGCTAATATTTTGTTGAAGATTTTTGCATCTATGTTCATCAGAGATATTGACTTATAATTTTCTCTCTTTTTAGCATCTTTGTCTGGTTTTGGTGTGAGGGTAATGCTGACCTCATAAAATGGTTTGGGAGCCTTCCCCTCTCTTCAGTTTCTTAGTATAGTTTGAGAAGAATAGGTGATAATTTACTTTAAATGTTTGGTAAAATTTACCTGTGAAGCCATATGGTCCAGGGGCTTTTGTTTGTTGGGAGCTTTTTAATTACTTCTTAGATTTCTTCAGTAGTTATCAGTTGGTTCAGATTTTCTGTTTCTTGCTGACTCACCCTTGGAGATTATATGTTTCTGGGAATGTATCCATTTCTTCCAGGTTGTCCGATTTGTTCATGTATAATTGTAGTATTTTCTTATGACTCCTATGGTGTCAGTTGTCACTTCTCCTGCTTTGTGTCCGAGTTTATTTATTTGGGCTCTCTTTTCCTTAATAAATCTGGCTATAGGTTTATCAGTTGTCTTAGTCTTTTAAAACACCAGCTCTTGGTTTTATTGATCTTTTCTATTGTTTTCAGGAGTCTACTTCACTTATTTCTGTTCTGACCTTTATTATTTCCTTGCTTATACTCACTTGGTACTTTTTTTTTAGTTCCTTTAGGCATAAGATTAGAGTACTTGCTATTTTTCGTGTTTCTTGAGGTAGATCTGTATTGCCATAAATTTCCTTTTTAAAACTGCTTTTGCTGTGTCCTACAGATTTTGAATCATTGTGTTTTCATTTTCATTTGTCTCAAGGTATATCTTAACTTATTTCTTGATTTTTTGTTAACCTCTTTATTGTTTAGTAACATGTTCTTTAGCCTCCCTGTGTTTGTATGTTTTTCAGTTTTCTTCTTATAATTGATTTTTATTTCATACTATTATGATCAGAGAAGATGCTTGATGTGATTTTAGTCTTCTTAAATGTATTGAGTCTTGTTTTATGGACTAACACATGGTCTATCCTAGAAAATGTGTCATGTGCACTTGAGAACAATGTGTATTCTGCTAGTTTGGGGTGAAATATTCTAAAAATATCAATTAAGTCCATCTAGTCTAATGTGTCATTTAAGGCCACTGTTTCCTTGTTGATTTTATTTCTGGTTGATCTATTCATTGATGTCGATGGGTGTTTAAGTCCCCTACTATGACAGTATTACTATCTATTTCTACTTTTATGTCCAACAATATTTGCTTTATATATTTAGGTGCTTCTATGTTGGGTGCCTAGATGTTTATGAGAGTATTATCCTTTTGATGAATTGATCCCTTTATCATGAAATGCCCTTGTCTCATGTTAAAGCCATTATTTTAAACTATTTTGTCTGATATAAGTATCACTACCCAAAAAATGAAGAAGAAAAAAAGATTAAGAATAATAAGTCTAATTATGGATTTGGGGGAAATGGTTTCTCTTATATACTGTTGGCATAGATGTAAATTTTTGTATATTTTGGGGAGAATAATTTGGTGGTCCCTAAGTTGAAAAAACAAAAGCAAACCCCTTTTGAACTTACAGTTTGCCTTTAGGATATGTGCTTATTCGCACAAAGGTATATTTGCAGAAGAGTTCATTGCAGCATTGTAATAACATCAAAATTCTACATTAGGTTCGGGTCCAATAAATTGTCTTATAAATGAGGAGACTGGACCGAGATGACAAATGAGCACATGTTCTTCTTTCCTTCCAGATCACAACAATGATAGAAAACAATTTTTAAGAGAATAAATCTATAATCGCCCAAAAAAGGAGAATGCTGCATGAACCAGAGTTTCTGAGAATTGTTGAACTGCATGAAGTGAGGAAAGCCAGTTATTTAAAAAATGTATACTATCAAATTTATGCAGAAAGCTAGATAGTGTGTGGTATACTTATGTGTTCGACAGAGAAATTGCTTGTCAAACGTATAAGTATAACCAAACAGTTGGCAGTTGTTGCTTCTAAGGAGGGGATTGAGAGTTAGGATGTGAGAGATGGGTAAAGGAAGACTTTTTTTTAAAAAAAACAAAAAAAGAAGGAAGAAAGTAGAAGGTAGGTAGACGTGAGCAGAGCAGAAGCTTTGCTTACCGGGAACGCACTCGCCTAGGGCCTCACACCTCACATGCTCTTTCCGCAGCCCTTGGGACCAGGCTGAAGGGGAGGGAAGCCCGTGGTGGGCCACCTGCCCCAGCATCCGGCCCTGCAGAGCTGTGTCTATGACAAGCTGCCTTCCTTTTAGTGCAAGTATTCTAACTCCTCGCCCCACCTCTGTGGGCCCCAACTCTGGGCAGTTCCCAGGGTTGTTTTCTCATGTGGACCTGTCTGTGGCCGGACATGTCCACGTGTCTACCGACTGTTTCCCTTGACTCAAGCATCTCCATTCTTTGCCATTTTCAACGGATCGTGTTCAATAGCTGTAGACAATAAAACTTAGATAAATAGAAGATGAAGATTGAAATCATATTTTTTTCTAATTGAATGTGCTTGAATATATCCCGAGATGGAAATAAAGGAACGTTTTGAGTCTTTATGTTAAGATTTGAAGAGCATGGATAATCCATTCAAATAAAGGACTTTGGGTGTTTCTTAGGATTCGGGAATTTAAAGCTTACTCTGTTCTATGGAATCTGCGTTTCATCAAAATAGTCTGGGAGAGGCCTGGCCATAGTGGCGTAGTGTTTAGAGTGTTGGCCTATGCACTGAAGGGTCGTGGGCTCGATTCCCAATCAAGGGCACGTGCCTGGGTTACAGGTTCGATCCCCCCACCTCCCCACCCCTCCCCCGCAGCCTGGACACGTGCAGGAGGCAACCGGTCAATGTGTCTCTCACACTGATAATATTCTCTCTCTCTCTCTCCACCCACCTCTCTCCCTCTCCCTCCTTCCCACCCTTCCACCCTCTGGAATTAATGGGAACATATCCTTGGGTTGTAGATTAACAACAACAAAAATTAAAAGAAATAGTTTGAGAGAGTAAAACAAAAATAGTTTGGGAGTATTACCAGTTTGGTTCTCTCTTTAGTACAAAGAGCTCCCAGCAGAACAGCTGATTGGGAGACAAGACCTTACGAATCCTCCGAGAAGGAAGGGAAATCGCAGGAGAATAGTACTTGTGGGCTAAACCTAAACAGCATGGTGTTCGGATCCATTCACTGCCCTAGGTGACGAGGACAAGAAATTAACAGTTCCTGCCCCCAAGGTGCTTATAGCTGGCCAGTGCGTCCGGCTGTGTCGTCAGCCGGTCCTTGTGTAATTTGTGAACTTCGTTAATTCTGTCCTCACGTCCGTGACATGTGCTCTCTGTGTCCAGATATGAACTAGGTGGTACTTCTGCTTTCCCCTTCTCTTTCAGGAAAAAATTGACCTCTTATTAATTGGAGATGTCACTGTTCAGTACCTGGCTGATACTGCACAGAAATTGTTTTCAAATATAGCAAAAGTCACCGTAACCATCAGGGATGTGAAGGAGGGAGCAGCACTTCTGAGCCAGCTCACGTTCAACGTGGTGTTCTTGACCGTGACTTTGCCAACCGCCCCCGAGCTGGAAGCTGTCAAATTAATTAGGTAAATTCCAGGGCCCAGGCCTGGGTTGCGGCTCCATCCCCAGCAGGGGGCGTGCAGGAGACGGTCTATTGATGTTTCTCTCTCATTGATGTTTTTCTTTCTCTCCTTCTCCCTTCCTCTCTCTGAAATCAATAAAAACATTTAAAAAATAAACTACATAAAATCTTTAAAAGATGGTACTATTTCTACTTTAATTTTAAAAATGAAGGATATTATTTTTATTGCCACTTTGACATACTTTTTAAGTTAAAGTTACAACTGTTATAATAGTAAGAGGTGTGGGTGAGAATGTAAGAGTTAATTGTTCATAGAAATTTGTTTGGTATATACCGCTTACCTCAATCCCATAAAGACTCCGTTTTAATAACTATTCATGAAAATGTCCAGTCTTTTCAGAGTTCACACGTTGTTGCGGCAAATACGAAAGCAAAGAGCGTTCTTAGCTCCATGGAATGTTGGCTGTGGGCTGAAGGTGTTTCTCGTAAACATAGAGCCCAGCCAGTGTGGCTCAGTGGTTGAGTGTTGACCCTGCACCGACAGGTCGCCGGTTCATTCCCGGTCAGGGCACATGCCCAGGTTGTGGGCCCATCCCCAGTGGGGGGCGTGCAGGAGGCAGCCAGTCGATGTTCTCTCTCATCAATGTTTCTATCTCTCTCCCTCTCCCTTCCTCTCTCTCTAAAATCAATAAAGAAAACATATTTTTTTAAAAAGAAAAACTTTATTTAAAAAAATAAAGAAAGAAAAAAATGAAAAAGAAACATAATCTTTCATAGCATCCTAATCTGAAAGCCCCCGAGGCTGTCTGGACCCTCAGGATCCACACCACTCGCAGTATCCTCGCTTCATCCGCAGCTCCATAGGGTCCTGCTCTGTGTGCGCCCCGCACCCCCAGGGCCGGGCGCAGTGGTGTGAGGGGTAGGCGTCTCCTGGCCTCACTACCGGGGATTGTGAGCCGTTTAGGATGTTTTAAAACAGGGTTAGGTCGGGACAAACTTTCTCACGTTTTATAAGAAAACTTGATAAAGCGGTTGTAGATGATATTCGAATATGCAAGGACTTTTCAGAATTCTAGGACAGGCCTTCAGAGACAGTGTTGTGATCCCCTTTCGTGATCAAAAGGAGCCAGCAGAAAAGGACGTTGGAATGACAAGAAGCCAAAGACACCGAGTTACTTGTTAAAAGGCAAGAGACAGACATTGACTCCTGGAGCTTCTTAGACCTTGTGAGTTTGGCTTTCTGCTGGGAATTGAGCTGTGGACACACCAAGCCAACTGCCTCAATGTGCATTTTACTTGCAGAACGTGGCGACCTGTCATCCTTCAGAAGATGTGCCCATGTTAGTAGCTACCTTTAAACAAGGCAACGCCTGCAGACGGAGTCCCCCTGCTGGGGACTCACAACAGTAACTCATTTATATAGTGTTTAACTTTTTTTAAAAGCTTTATCGGGGAGGGGGAGCAGGGTGTCGTCATTCCCAGCTGACAGGTTAGAAACGGACGCCGAGGTGACCTGCCCGGGACCACACGTGCTGGGTCTCTCACAACAGACCAGAACTCTACTTCTCTGAAAGTCTGTAACCAGTGGCTTCTCATCCCAGCCCCTTCCCTTGGGCCGCTGAGATTCCATACTTGCCAACCCCGTGTAAACGGCATAACACGTGGTTTGGGAGGCACTGCAAGGTCCGTCTGGCCGGCCGCTCCTATCCCAGGTGACCCTCCCTGTCTCCCCGAGGGAAGTCAAGGCTCGGATCGGCTCGTTACTGAAACCAAGGTCTGCACAGGATAAGAATAGAGGTGTTTAAGCACAAGCTTCATGTCTGGTTACAGTAACTGAACACCAGGAGGTCTGAGGAGAGAACTTACTTTCTGATACCTCTGTGGATTCTCACCACCCTTGCTTCTTTGCTCTGAGGAACATAGCTTAGGGTTTCCCAGCAGGAGAAAGAAGGCGGGTAAAAGTACTGGACGTACTGGCATGCATATGGTAGTCTGCTATTCTGGTATAGAAGTATTTGTTTAAAAAGTAACAAAAGGGTAATTGGTGGAATACACCTGGATTTGTTTCCTGTCTCTTGTTACACTGTTGTCGTACCCGGTGTACTGGGGTCTTGAGGAACAGCAGGTGTTTGTCTCTTGCTCGAGGGCTGAGTGAGTGAGTGTGTGCACCAGGAGGGCAGAAAACGAGCTATGGCTTTTGTGTTCTCTGGAGAAGAGACAGTGCTTTGTGCGTTTCATCATGGCTCAGAGGATGTCCTGACATTTTCTCCGTTGCCCTCAGACTGTTCCGAGTTTATGATTTATGAGTTATTTAAACCCCTGTACAGAAGGCTTATATTTTGGAATCTGTAGTTTTTCTTTGGGTGATAAGTCCTGTAAACATAGTGCCCCATTTATGAGGCATTTAAACCTTCATGTTTCCCAAAGCACGAACATTGAATGACTAAAGCAAAGTGCAGAGTTTTGGGGTAGCCTATCTTCTGCTATAATTTAGATTTTTCTTTCCCTTAGATCTTTGTTGTTTAGTAGTATCTGAGACTCTGGGTAGGTGCAGGAAAATATGCAACTTTCACCTGACGCCTCTCGGCACCCTCTGCAGCCCACCCGTGAACGAGGACCCTCCACACGTAGACGTGTCCACGCTCTGTGGGTGTTAGAGCACGGGACCGTTTTAGAATGAAACGTAAGCAGCCTCCTTAAAAAGGTTCTTCAATTTGCTTTTATAGAAAAACTGTGTTTTTAGCTTGGAGCTAATCATTGATCAATTTGAGTCATAAACATAGTGGTACTTTGTAGACTGACATTTTCAAGAGTTGTGGTACATCTCAGTCATAGGTTAATGAACATCACTCATTACGTTTCATTTTATGACTACTTTTTTTTTTGAGCCAGATGAACTCAAACATGACCCAGTGGAAGATATTTTAAGACAGTCTTAGGTCCGGCCCGTGTGACTCAGTCCTGGAACTCAACCCAGGCAACAAGAGGGCACTGGTTGGACTCCTGGTCAGGGCACATGCCCAGGTTGTGGGTCCGATCCCCAGTGGGGGGCGTGCTGGAGGCGGCCAGTTGATATTCTCTATCATCAATGTTTCTATCTCTCCCTCCCTCTCCCTCCCTCTTTCTAACATCAATAAAGGGGAAAAAAAATGTTTTTTAACATATATAGTCTTAGGGTTGGTGTGGTTGGTTCCAGAATTCTAGGGCTATTTGACTCTTTTCGTTTTTTTTCCAAAATCGAGCCACACACAGAGAGCAGCTGCTTAAGTCAGACACATCCTGCCCCTTTATGTTCCAAAGGCAGGTGCAGGAGACAAACATGTGGACGGAATCAACGCTGGGTGTGTCCTGGCAGGAAGTGTGATGGCCACTCCATGAAGGGTCTGTCGTGTTAGAATCTGTGGCTGCCGGGCTCAGGGCAGTCGGGCAGCAGGAGGGACATGCAGGACGGCCCGGCCGCTCGGTCTGCGGGTCACCTCCTGCTCCGGCTCTGCGCTGCTTTCCCGTGCGGTTTCAGGTGTCTGCCTGGTTCCCTTGTCACTCCCGAAAAACACTCCATCCTCTGGACCACGAGCATCTAACACGTTGTTGTGTCCCTGGTTTTGCACATCCTGGACTTGACCATGCCGCTCGGTCATTTTCATTAGCAGTTGGCATGACCTGGTCCCCGGGGTGTGTAACAGCAGTGACCACGTGACATCTCCGCGGTCTTAGTGAAAACATCATTCCGTACATGGATGGTGGGTATAAGTTGGAACTGAGGAAAATTCGAGATCTTTACCATCTTTAGCGTCATGTCCGTGGTGAGCATGACTTACTGAACAGCAGCCGCTCTGACGACCAGCATAGGGGAGCAGGCACCGCCTCCTACCAATATAGGGGAGCAGGCACCGCCTCCTACCAATATAGGGGAGCAGGCACCGCCTCCCACCAGCACAGGGGAGCAGGCACCTCCTCCCACCAGCACAGGGGAGCAGGCACCGCCTCCCACCAGCACAGGGGAGCAGGCACCACCTCCCACCAGCACAGGGGAGCAGGCACCGCCTCCCACTGTGCCCAGAGCAAACCTCAGGCCTTGGCTGCATCTGTAGCAGGTACCCTGGCAGCAGGGGCTGAACTCTTTCTCAAACTCACAGCAAGACCCTCAATGTTCTTACTGCAGAGGTTGTTTTAATTAGGTGAGTAATTAACAAAGACCAGTATTTGCCACATGTCAGATAGGCCACACCAGGTGAGGCGGGGCCTGGGGCCCGGGGATCGGACTGGATAACCATACTCAGGAAGGCCTGCTCCCCAAAGTGACACTGCTTTGGCCTCGAGCGATTTTTCCAGCTTCCTGAGGTTTTGTAAGAATCCTCGACTCTCACTGCCTGAGAGATTTCAGAGGTTCTTGGTAGCAGGGTGCTCAGCCCAGCTCACAAGAGTCTATGTGGCCTTGTTTCTGGCCACCAGGGGCCAGATGGGGGACCGGCAAGACTGGGAGGCGCCGCAGCCCGGCGCTGGCCCTGTTCCAGAGATGCTCCTTTCCTGTGCGCGTGGAGAGCACACTCCATTTCCGAAGCTGGACTAGACTACAGACGTGTGTCTTTCGGTGGTGTCCTCTCTCACCTCTGAGTCCACGTCTCCCCTCCACCTCGCTTCCTCGCCTGCCGTCGTGTCTCAGGATACGCCAGACTTCGCATCACGTAGAAATGTATCTGAAATGGTCGCCTTGCCGCGGGCGCCTTCTTCCCACCCCGCCCGCGCGACACCTGTCCCGCCCCACGGAGTCCGGCCGCGCCCAGCCTCCCGCCACGTTGCCTGTTTTCGTGGTGGTGCTTCTGCCCACGTGGGTCATTTCCTCACAGAGACCACACGGTCTTTCCCGTCTTTTCAGACCGAACTCGGGATTCATAGACTGGGACGAAGTTTGAATAGACCTCAGCCGAGGGAATATTAGCAACACCCTGTTCATGTGACACAATTAGCTTAGTAAATGTTATGATTTATTTACTTGATAAAGAAAATTCTCAGCCCAGCCGGTGTGGCTCAGTGGCTGAGCGTCGATCCTGCACCAGGAGGTCCCCAGTTCGATTCCCGGTCAGGGCACAGGCCCAGGTTGTGGGCCGATCCCCGGTGGGGGCCGTGCAGGAGGCGGCCAGTCGATGTTCTCTCTCATCGATGTTTCCATCTCTCTCTCTTTCTCTTCCTCTCTCTCTAAAATCAATAAATAAAAAATAAAAAAGAAAGTTCTCGGGTGTGTCTCCTGTGGTCCACCATCAGCTCCGCCCGGACTCCAGCCCGACCTGTCTCCCGGTCTCACCACTGTCCTCCGCCGATGCTCTGAGCTGGCGTCACCTTGGGGTCTTCACTTTCCCAAAGTCAGGGTCTCCGTCTCCCAGGGCCTGTGCCCCTGCTGTCCCCTCGCCCGCAATGAGCTTTCCTGCCTGGTTCCCGCACCTCTCAGGTGGCTCAGTCCTGCCGGCCGCCCAGCGTGTCTGCCAGGGCGCCCTCCGAGGCTGCAGCGCGGTGGTGCTCAGGACGTGCCCCCCGGACCCTGTGGCCGTCCCGCCCAGCCCTGGGCACGCACCGGCCACTCACTCATCTGCAGTGTTTGTTCGGTGTCTGTCTCCCCAAGAGACTGAACTCCACAAGAGCGGGGACCTTGTCTGTTTCTGTCTGTCCCAGATGTCCCCCAGAGCCTGGCTGGGTCTGGCACAGGGTACGTTCTCCATATATGACCCAGTACGTAAATTACTTCCCATGTAATTAGGAGTGTAGAATAGTGCGCATCTACCTTCAAATGCATGTAGGAGGTAATCTAACAATATCACACGGCGGCGGGTCTTCAGGCCTCGTTCACAGGAGTAAACAGGAAGCATGTTTGACCGCCTCCTAACACATGATGTTCTACCTGCGGAAGAACAGTTCATCTTTCAGAGGCGTTTTAGCTGTTCTCTTTAATGTCAGGTTCTCAGTAATATTCTCCCTAGGAAGATATTTTCTCCTAGCTCATGTCAGTGTTCAGTACCCATCAAATAACCAGAACTTCCAACCTGTTGACCACCCAAGTATAGTTAAAAATAACACCACAGTTTGTTTTATTTGGGGCGTGTGCAAGCCTGTGACAGTTGAAGGAAGAGTGTAATGGATGTCCCTGTTCCCATCATGTACTAGGAGTTGTGGACACATGGCCGGGCCGGGGTCATTGTCCCCCCTCCCCACACCCCCTCCCCTCCGGCGCTCTAGTGACTTACTTCACAGCAAATCTAACACATCGTCTCCGGCCATCCATAAGCACTTCAATAAGTAACTATCTAAGATAAGGAGTCTTAAAAGATACCGCAATACCAGTATCACACCTGAAGACTAATGACAGTTTCTTAACATTGTCAAGTGCCTGGTCAATGCTGAAATGTCCCCTTTATCTTACGATTTCTGTTTTAAAATGTAAGTTTAGATAGGTCGGGATTCATCTTTTTCTTCTGTATTTTTTTCTTTTTGTCTTGCTGTTTATATAGGTTTTAAGAAGGGTCATTTTTCTTCTAGAATTGACCACATTCTGGGGCTTCCTCATTCCATCTTCATAGCGTTCTTTAAAATATTCCTCTTTTTTGCCCTGGCCGGTTTGGCTCAGCGGTTAGAGCGTCGGCCTGCGGTCCTGAGAGACCCAGGTTCGGTTCCCGCTAAGGGCACGTACCTCGGTTGCAGTTTGTCCCCGGCCCTGGTTGGTTGTGCGGGTGGCAGCCACTCAATGTGTTCCTTTCACATCAATGTTTCTCTCTCTCTCTCTGTTCCTCTCTCTCCCTCCCACTCTACCTAAACAAAAAATGGAAATATGTCCTTGGGTGAGGATAAAAAAATATATATATATATATATTCCTCTTTTTCTTAGATTTTTTGTAAACTGGTGATTAGATCGAGAATCTGGATAAGACTTAGGCTCATGTTTTTTTTTAAAGCAAGAGTAAAAGTGGTCCATCTTACATTCTACCCATACCTGAGCAATACCCTCAAAACTGTCAAGGTCATAAAAAAACAAAGTCAGAAAAATTGTCCCAATCTGGAGGAGACTAAGGAGACAGGATGACTAAATGTATGGGATCCTGGGATAGGAAAACAGGAGTATAAGTAAAAACTAAGGAATTCTAAATAAAGTATGAACCTAAGTTAATAACAGTGTCTCAATACTGACTCATCACTGCTGAGAAATATGCAATACTAACGTAAAATGTTAGCAATCAAGGAAGCTGAGCATGGGATCCATGGGAACTCTATGACTTTCATATTGTTTCTGTAAATACAAAATTATTCTAAAATTAAATGCTTATTTCTTTAAAGTCATCCACTCACCCCTTCCCCAGTTGTAAAGGACCAGGCATTAGTGGTCACCAGAGATATTTATTATAAAAAGACTATTCTTATTAATAGAGTGAATTCCTGCTCCAGGAAGCCATGGGTTTGACTAACGACTCAGAATTTAGATCTCCTCGTCCATTACACTGAAATAGCATGAAGCAGAGTAAATATCACTTATAGTAACGCACCTCTTTCCCTTGTATTTCTCAAATAATCTGTACTGTGCACCCTAGCAGCACACTTCAGAATTCTGTGTGCAATTGTATGAAATACAAACCCTTTCTCGTTCCTCGTAAGTTGTGGAAGGGTTCATATGCTACTTTTACTAAATTTCTACATGAATGCCACCACTGTGAATTCTGAAAAAAATAAAAACACTCGAGTTCAATTTCTAATAAGCTAAATTATTGAATCTTAATTCTCGAATGATGGTTTTGCTTCACTTTGACGTTTTTTCCTCTCTCAGATTTGGCAAGAAGAAAAATGCGCATTTGCTGTTTGTTTTGATAGTCCCTGAAAATTTTAAAGGTATGTGCCTACTGGATATATTATTTGTTTTTTCTCCAAATAGAAACCATGGGTCACTATTTAATACAAATATTCTTAGGTTGTGTTTCAGGCCACGGAGCTGATATTACTTTAACTGAACCCCTGACTATGGAGAAACTTAGCATTGTGGTAAAATACTGGAAAACATATTTCTCGAACACTGGTGAGTGAAAAACACATTTCCAAAAGATTGAAAATGTCTAATTAAAATACCATTTAAAGCTGGTTTTTCACTTGTGCCTTTTATTTTGCTAAGGATTAACTATGAGCTGTGTACTGTGAAGAACATGTCATTGTTGTCCGTCACAGTCTGAAGAAGACAAGTGTAAATAAAATAAAGGGAAGCATGTTCTCTCCCTGTCAAGGGAGAGAATTACGTCTTCCCGGGATTCAAGTGTGTTAATGGGCCAACAGTCTCCCCTGTGGTAGGCACGGGGTTCATTGATTGACAGGGAGTTTGTTATTTTGTTGTTGGTAGTCTAGCTGCTACATCGTTTCTTAGTCATTGACATGGAATCAATCACGCTGGTCCTTGTACGATTGTCTAAACGCCGGGGCCACTACCTTGAACCGTTATCATATTTTGTGCTTTGCAAAACATTTGCGTATAAATTACTTTGCTTCTTTGAGTTAACAGAGTGGTTGTTATTTCTGTTTTAGGCACAGATAGGTTCATGCTTCAATCGACCTCACCTTTCCAAGTTCTTCATGTCTGTTGTGTTAGGTGGTGTATTAGTCTCTGAACACTGAAGCTAATTAAATGAGCTTCGATTTGCCTTGTCAAAGGACATACCCCAATTTCTGAAAATAAATTCTGCTGGAATTATTGTTCGTCGGTGACGATGATTTTTCTAGCTTTGGGACACTAAGCTAGGGCATCTTTTAAAATGAAGATGATATTTTTCTTAAAATGGACCTGAAATCGTCTCAGTTTCTTCTGTATAAGCTCATACGTGAGGTGACACGGGACTGAGTACACCCTTCTCTTTAGTCAAGGGAGAGTAGTGAGTCTGTTTTGTAACATTGCAGGGGCCCCGGCCCTGCAGGGGCAGAGGTCTTGCAGGAGAGGCTCACCGTGGTGACCAGAGTCCCTCTTGCCATACTTACGTGCCACTCAGGAGAAAGGGGGCCTGACTCATCACACCTGTCGAGCACCCTTCCTGTGCGTCATCCTTACGTGGTCTCCTCTCCACCCCGAGTATGAGCAGCTGCAAAACACAGAGCAAAACAAAAATCCAAAACCACAGAAAAGGCAATAAAACCCTCAGATGCTATATTTGGACACTGTAGCTGCTTACTGAAGACTCAGACATATTTGGTCTCTGTCACTCATCTCCAAATAAGAACTTAATACGTGAACTCAGTTGAGGGCATTTTAAGCAAACATATTTGTAAGTTTCTAGAATCTAGTTGAAAGGGGATGTCCTGGGGTAGAGAGTATGTAGTCTTTTAATTTTGTTTTCTCCTCTGGGTGGTTTCATGATTCATCTTTGAAATGCATCAGTGGCTTTCTGTTTTAAAAACTGATGCTTTGTAAAATGTGTTGAGTAAGAGGTGACAACTGCTGTTCATGAGGGCGTGTATCTGTGATTAACATAAGCGATGCCAGTGAGTTTACAGTTAAAGTGGCCCCCTCTGAAAACTTTCAGTGAAGAATGACGGGTCTGTCAAGCCTGAACAATCGGGATTCCACCTGCAGAAGTCCTGCAGTGAACACCTGGGATGTTTCTCTACGGATCTATTGGCTTGGTTAGTTTTTCTTACTTTTTCAAAATAGCAATTTTTACTGTATACATGTCATTCAAAAATGTATGGAGAACTATTGCTTGAGGGACACTAGCTCAAGTGCTCGGGGTGATGCAAAATATAAAAGAGGCTAGCCCAGCCGGTGTGGCTCAGTGGTTGAGCGTCGACCCTACACCAAGAGGTCACCAGTTCAAATCCCGGTCAGGGCACATGCCCAGGTTGTGGGCCTGATCCCCAGTAGGGGGCATGCAGGAGGCGGCCAGTCAGTGTTCTCTCCCATCGATGTTTTTATCTCTCTCTCTCCCTCTCTCTTCCTCTCTCTCTAAAATCAACAAAGAAAGAACAAAAGATAAAAGAGGCTGTTTTGTGGGAGAGGGAGGCCATTTTTTCTGTGTCTCAGAACCCTGAGCCGGGACTGGGGGTGCACGTTCAGAGCCTCCGCCTGAATACAGAAGCTACTTCACAGCGGTCATAGGCGACCACAGGGGAGCAGGTGCGTTGTAAGTCAGTGGCTCCCTCATCAGTGGACATGTCCCAGGAGAGTCTGGGTGGTCACTGATCAATATAAATAATAGCAGCGGTGCTCCAGCTTTTTCAAAGCAGCCGAAAAACTTCTCTTCAAACAAATATTTTATGTAAATCCCAATAAAACAGACAAGAGAAATCCTGGCTGTGACCCACCTACCCCTGATTCTCTCCCTGAGGTCTTCTGTGAACTCATTAACCCCTACCCCAGGGAAAAGAACATTATAAAGGTTTCTCTGTCCCTTTCTCTTTTCTCTGCCTCTGTTCTGCTTCTCTATCTGAGAGAGATTGGAATTGCATCGTATAGACAGTTTAACTGGTGGTCAGGGCCTTCTAACGCTAGCACTGTGTTATGCTTATTACAATTCAGTTTTTGTGAATTTCTTTCCTTCACTTAAGCTGATTCCCAAGCATAAGGCTACAAACAATGGACAGAACTGCTGAAGACATGGGTGGTGATGGGGACAATGCCGAGCCAGCCACTTCTGGGATCAGTGGACTGTGACCATCACTGTTTGTGGACGTGTGACCATTTGCTATTTTGAACAAGGAGGAGACTTGGCAACCACTAAATGTGGTTAAGCCAAAGACATACTCACTTAAGTAATGCCTGGCTGTCCATAGCTGCCTTGATCTTATTTCACATTTTAACCTCGGAGATGTACTGCGCTCACCCTTATCTGGGATGCGCAGTCGGGACAGGCTGTGGAGGGCTTGGTGATTTTCTTGTATTATTTGCAACTGCTTTTTGAGCCCCACTCATCTTGAATCTTTGTTTTTCCTCAGAATCCTGCTATTAAAAAAGAAGTAAATGTTCAAATCAAGTTCTAGCCCTTGGGATAAAAGAGATAATATGGATTTATAAATTTCTTAGGAAAATTTTATAAATATCAGTCAAATTAGTTCATCAAAATGCCTGGAGAACTTCTATAAAAAATGGTAGACCTAGAAAATGTTTGTTCATTGACAAATTTTATTTATTTTTATTATTTTTTTCCTTTTTAGTTTAATTTTTTTTACTGTATCTTTATTGTTGAATGTATCACAGATGTTCCTCCTTTTTCGCCTATTACCCCCTCCTCCCCACTCCCGCCCCCCTCCTGCCTTCCCCACACCATTGTCTGTGTCCACTGGTTATGCATATATGCATATACGTTCTTTTGTTTATTTATTTCCACCCCCCAACCCCCTTCCCTTTGAGGTTTGTCCATCTAACAATCAATTTTTACTGCTTAATCCCTTCACCTTTTTCACCCATCCCCCCAACCCCCCTCCCATCTGGCAACCAACAAAATGTTCTCTGTATCTATGAGAATGCTTCTGTTCTGCTTGTTCATTTCGTTTGTAGATATTATTTTTTTAATCCTCACCCGAGGACATACTTAGAGAAAGGAAGGGGGAGAGAGAGAGAAAAACATCAATGTGAGAGAGAAACATTGATCAGTTGCCCTGACCTGGGATTGAACCCACAACCCAGGTATGTGCCCTGACCAGGATTCGAACCAGCAACATTTCAGTGCACAGGACAAGGCTCACCCAACTGGGCTGCTCCAGCCAGGCAGCTGACAAATTCTTCTATGGAAGAACCTGCCCTAGCTGATCAAGCTGGAATAGTATATCTTAGCCCTTGGATCCCTTTCTTGTAATGCACATTTTGATACATTTATGTGATTTGGGATAGTTGTAATCAGTGAGGTCAGATTATTTTAATCCTGCGTGTATCTGTCATTCTTTACCCGTATATTTTAGAATATTTATCAGCCATTGACTTTATGATGGTCTTGATGATACATTCTTTTTTCTGCACCAAATATGTAAGGTAAAGTGTTTTTATAATTACTGCACCTTTGAAGCAAGAGACTTAGAGAAACTCCTTTGATTAGTGTATTGGTGCTTATTGTTTAATATTCCCTGATAAATTTCCTCCTAAATATGTATGGTATGATTTTCTTCTATTTCTAGCTCTGACTCTCTAAGAAACGACATTGGGCTTGAATTAAAGACTCCGTTCTCTGATATCGAAACAAGCAAACGGATTTCTCTTCTTCATTCAAGCAAGGAAAAGCTGAGAAGGTGAATGTTGATACAGCCTTTAGCATTATCCCCTTGCAGCAAGAAATATTTCATGAATTTTATAACTTTTTGTAATACTGTTAAAAGTCTATATGAAACCAGTAAATCTGGCAACTAAATACAAGGCATTAATCCATTTATTCATTTAGTCATTCAACAAGTAGCTATGAGTATCTACTGTGTGTCAGGATATGATTGGTGAGATAAAAAATAAATGCTTGCCTTCAGGGAGGTCTTAGCCTACTGCTCAGACAGACTTCTAAATAAGCAGCTATCAAAAATAACACTGTTTGAATACATGTTATGATAGAGAGGAAGACACAGGAAACGCATAGAAAAGTTACCCAGGACAGAATGAGGGGGCAAGGGGATTTTCTTCAGAAGATAGCTAAACTGAGCTTTAAACCAAAAGTTACAGTTAATTTGGTTTAGAAATCAGAGAGGGCCTTTGATGTTGGGGAGTCGCAGGTACAGAGAGTGACTGGATGAGAAAGTACCGTGAATTTCTGAAACTCAGCGGTGGTCAAGGGGGGTCTCTAGTTGGAGACAGCCTCTGCCCAGAGACAGAACTCTGCACCCCTAGTTCTTGTCTTGCTTGTAGGAATGAATTCAAACAAGAGACAACAAATAGCAGCAAAAGCAGATGAGAATTTATTGGCAGGGAAGAAATACACTCAGCTAGAACCTGAGCGGGCAGCTCAGCTGGCCGAGGCCAAACAGCGTGCCCTGCTTAGGTGGGGTTTGGATGTTTATATTCCTAGACTGGAGGCACCTCAGTAGGTCTCCCCTCTCTTATTTCTTTAGGCTGTGAGGCTCCTTCACCTACCTAGGTGTTATGTCACCAGTTAGACCACATCCTGGAGGGCTCAGCATCTTCCTTCCTCTCCTAGGGGCCTGCCCCCTCCATTGTCCATTCTCAGTCCATCACATCTCGTCCACACTCCCTCCAAGCCCCCGCTGCCTCTCTGAGCTCATATCTTTCTATCTGCCTGCACTAACATCCCCCCCCCCCCAAGGGATATAGGCCAAATTTATTTGGGAAGCTGAAAGATAAGCTCTGACTTCTGAATCTACTTCCTGCTGAGTTGGGGCGGAGAGGTGAGTTGGCCCAACACCCCTGGCTCCGTCTCCAGGGGCCAGGTTAGGGTGGAGCAGAAGGGGCTGTGCAGCATGACCAGGTGGGTTTGGTGGTGTGTGCGGACTGGAGGGGGATAGAGATGTACCTGGTACCAGGTGAAATTCTTAAGTGAATATTATCTGAAGTCTCGCAGCTTGTATTCAACCTTAAACAAAGGAAACAAGAGTGTTCAGAATCTGGGGTACAAAAATTAGGGTTATTAAGAGTCCCAACAATATTGGGGTCGAGAGAGTTATCCACTGGAAGATGGCAGAAGTGGGGGGACTCCACCAAGAGGGGGTTTTGTACCTGTTTTCTAGGTCTGCAGCTTTTGCAATGAGGCTTCTAATATTTCCCTGTCCTGGAGGGACTGACTAACATGCTAGTATCACTCCTCCTGGAGGGGGACGGGCTTCCCACTGGGCCGCCTGGGAGACCCAAGGCCCTCCCCAAACAGAGCTGCCAGGCCATCAGGTTGCTCTTGTAGTGTAGCCATGGTGCTGGCAATGTCTTTAAACATTTGGGAGGTTTCTTTTGATAACTGACCTGGAGAGTGATGTGCTGCTGCACCTACAGAGGCTCGGGGAGGTCTGGTGCTGAAGCCTGAGAACACGCGCAGGGGAAGGCGTAGCGGCGCCCTCTTGTGGTCTGCCTTATTACAGTGAGAGGGAGAGGTGTGGGGTACAGCCACGAGCCGGGAGATACGGGGCCAGCCATACCCCGAGGAGCAGTGTCCTGCACTGAGGTGGCAGGTGATGTGAGCGTTATTGCCACATACATCGCATAGCCCAAGGCCCGTGGGAAATAGTGTCTCTCTGGAGGAGGGCAGCCTTTGGCTTTGTGTTGGCCTCCGTTCTGGATTTCTGAGAGAGCCCCAGATAAAGAATTGTGGTGCTGCGACACTAGCCAGAGAGATGCCATTTAAGGGCATATTTAATGTATAGGATATGCCTCCCATGGTATTTTCAATTAGAAGGGTGTTAGATCTTCCCCAAATATTAAGTTGGTGGACTTACATATGAGAACCTTACACGAGACTTTAATGGGGTTTAATGCCTTGGGAACCTCTTGAGGCGGTTTACACAGAACCCGGGTGTTTTAGGGGCCATGTCGGGAAGGACAGCTGTGGGTGGCGGCAGTACCGCACCAAGGCGGGTGACCATAAAGCCAGTTTGTGTGCAGAACTCAGCTTGGGGAGGGCTGGCAGAGATATATTTCTTCTGTTTGAAAGTCCCCATTGATGGCGATAAGGATTTCGCAAGCTTCTGTGCTGAAGTTGCCTAAGAAGGTGGCTGAGGTGTTCTTGACACAGTTTTGAACACGTGGAGAGAGTTTGAGGGTCTCAGTAGAAGGGTCTGTAAAAATGGGCCCATAGATGGTAGGCCTACTTATTTGTGGTTGATAGTAGGCAAGATAATTCTGGTATAGTTGTTGAAAACAGTTGTTTATTGCAGTTGTGAAAGTCCGCTGGGCTTGACCTTGAAAGGCATTCTGGGTGCCAGAATGTAGCCGTGCTGGAGAGGCGACCCATTCATAGAGTGGGGACCGGACGATGGAAGCCGTCTGCTTGGCGGTGAGCCAGATCCAGCAGTTAGGGTGGCATACAGCTTGAGTGGTGACATTGGCAATAGTAAAGGAGTTATGTTTTTGGCTAAGGCTTATTGGGAGGAGGATAGTGAAGTCAAGAAAGAAACTGGAAAGTTTTATTTTATGTGTGTCTGTAGGAGAAGTTCAAAGGAGCCCCTGGGCGGTGCCTGGCAGCTCTCAGGTAAATAAGCCAAGGAGGAGGAGGCTGCTGGAACACACACCAAGGAGAAGTAACTCCCCACACCCCTCCCGCGGGGTAGGGAGGTTGAGACACACAATAGTAGAGGCCAGTAGTAAAGACTATAGAGAAATGTACAGCCAACAGTAAAATTAAGACATGAACTTACTTGGGTGTTGCCCTGTGTATTTAGTTTTATAATTATTGCTTATCTTTTAAGGCATTTTTTGGGAGGCAACCTGCTTCTTAAAAAGTAGGTTCAGATCTTCAGGTGGCTCAGCTGTCCAGGTTTTGGAGAATGATTCTTTTCTTTTTAAAATTTATTTTTATTAATTTATTTTTGTTACAGATGTTTCTCCATTTTTTCCCCATTGACACCCTCCTCCCCATGCCCCCACCTGGGCCCCGGCTTTGTTGTCCGTGTCCACAGGTTATGCATACATGCATATAAGTTTTGTGGTTTATCTCTTTCCTCCCCCGCACCCCCTCTTCTAAGGGTTGTCAGTCTGTACCCCACTTTCATATCTCTGGGTCTACCTTATTCCTTAGGCTATTATGTTTATTATATTCCCTAAATAAGTGAGATCATATGGTACTTGTCTTTCTCTGTTTGGCTTGTTTCGCTTAGGATGATACTTTCCAGGTCCCTCCATGTCATCTCAAAGGATAACAGATCTTTCTTACAGTTGTGTAGTACTCCATTGTGTACATGTACCACAGCTTTCTTATCCACTCATCTATTGATGGACACTTGGGTTGTATCCAGATCTTAGCTATTGTAAATAGTGCTGCTATGAACATGGGGGTACATACATTCTTTCTGATTGGTGTTTCAGGCTTCTTAGGGTATATTCCTAGAAGTGGGATCACTGGGTCAAATGGAAGTTCAATTTTTAATTTTTGAGGTAACACCATAGTGTTTTCCACAGTGGCTGCACCAGACTGCATTCCCACCAGCAGTGCACTAGAGTCCCCTTTTCTCCACAACCTTGCCAACACTTGTTGTTTGATGATTTGTTGATGGCAGCCATTCTGACAGGTGTGAGGTGATACCTCATTGTTGTTTTCAATTGCATCTCTCTGATGATTATTAGTGATGTAGAGCATTTCTTCATATGTCTCTTGGCCATTTGTATGTCCTGTTTGGAGAGGTGTCTATTCAGCTCCTCTGCCCATTTTTTAATTGGGTTCTTTGTCTTCCTTTTCTTGAGTCCTACGAGCACTCTATATATATTGGAAGTTAACCCCTTATCTGATATATCATTGGCAATTATGCTCTCCCATACAGTGGGTTGCCTTTCCATTTTGATGGTTGTTTCTTTTGCTGTGCAGAAGCTTTTGAGTTTGATGTAGTCCCATGTGTTCATTTTTTCCATTGTTTCTGTTTCCTTAGGTGATGTATCAGTGAAAATTCTGTTGTGTATGATGTCTGAAATTTTGTTGCCTACATTTTCTTCTAGGATTTTAATGGATTCACGGGTCACATTTAAGTCTTCTATCCATTTTGAGTTTATTTTTGTGTATGGTGTAAGCTGATGGTCTAGTTTCACTTTTTTGCATGTAGCTGTCCAATTTTCCCAACACCATTTATTAAAGAGGCTGTCCTTACTCCACTGTATGCTCTTGCCACCATTGTCAAATATTAATTGAGCATACTGTCTTGGGTCAATTTCTGGGTTCTCTGTCTTGTTCTTGAGCCAGTACCAGGCTGTTTTGATTACAGTAGCTTTGTAGTATAACCTGATATCTGGTAATGTGATCTCACCTACTTTGTCCTTCTTTTTGAAGATTGCTGTGGCTATTCGAGGTCTTTTTTGGTTCCATATGAACTTTTAAAGTATTTGTTCTAGTTCTGTGAAATATGTCGTTGGTATTTTGAGGGGATTACATTGAATCTATAGATTGCTTTGGGTAGTATGGACATTTTAATTATGTTAATTCTCCCAATCCATGAACAAGGTATGTGCTTCCACTTTTTTATATCTTCCTCTATTTCTTTTTTCAATATCCTGTAGTTTTCTGCAAACAGGTCCTTTACTTCTTTGCTTAAGTTTATTCCTAGGTATCTTAATTTTTTTGCTGCAATGGTAAATGGGATTGTTATTATTGTTTTGTTTT